ATGATTGTGAAATTCTTTACCACCCAGGAAAAGCCAACGTGGTAGCTGACGCTTTGAGTAGAAAGGAAAGGAGTGGAACCATTAAAACGGTGGCAATGAGAATAAGTTTAATCTCTGATATTCATAAAGACATTCTGAAATGTCAGAAGGAAGCTATGAAAGAAGATCTTATCAAATCAGAAAAGTTGGGTAAAATGATCTCAACCTTGGAACAGAATGATGAAGGACTTATGTGCTTTCAATGGCGAATTTGGGTACCACATTTTGGAGATGTCCGAAGTATGATATTGAATGAAAGTCATAAATCCCGATATTCCATCCATCCAGGTACCAATAAGATGTATCGAGATTTAAAACCTTTTTATTGGTGGCCAGGATTGAAAAGAAACATAACTCGATATGTGGAACAGTGTCTGACATGTTTACATGTTAAGATTGAACATCAGAAACCTTATGGAAGCCTTCAATATTTGGAAATACCTGTATGGAAATGGGATCATATCACCATGGATTTTGTTATAAAATTACCACGAACTCCAAAGGGGTATGATGCGATTTGGGTAATTGTGGATCRTTTATCTAAATCTGCACATTTTCTACCAATAAGAGAGAAATACTCTTTAGAAAAGCTAGCGCAGATTTACATTAAAGAAATTGTTACCAGACACGGTGTTCCCTTGTCTATTATCTCTGATAGAGAYAGTCGGTTTACTTCAAAGTTTTGGGGAGGATTACAGAAAGCTCTGGGGTCTGAAATTCGATTAAATACAGCTTATCATCCGCAGACAGATGGACAAAGTGAAAGAACTATCCAGACTCTCGAAGATATGTTAAGAAGTCGTATTATTGACTTCGGGGGATCTTGGGAAGATCATTTGCCATTGATAGAGTTTGCATATAACAATAGTTACCATTCCAGTATTCAAGCGGCACCATATGAAGTGTTATATGGACGTAAATGTCGAATGCCGTTGTGTTGGAATGAGGTGGGTGAAAAACAGTTAACAGGTCCTGAAATTATCCAAGAAACTTCTGAAAAGATCGAACAAATCCGTGAGAGAATCAAAACTGCACAAGATCGCCAGAAAAGTTATGCAAATAATCGTCGAAAGCCAATTGAATTTGATATAGTTGATTTTGTAATGTTAAAAGTTTCTCCATGGAAGGGTGATATGTGTTGAGAATTTAACACATAACGCGCTCTTTTTAGGTCTTTTTAGTTATAATAATTTTCTCATTCCCACTTTGAGTCCTTTTCATTTATTTCTTTATACTTTTGTTATTATGAAGCTAAATGTTGTGGTTGACTTGATGGTTTGTGTAAATGATGCTAATTGAGAGCTTTTGTGAAAACAGCAAATGCTACGCATTGGTACAGCGTTGACCTGAGTCTTACACGACTTTTTGGAGGGCTTAATGAACAAGACGCTGACTTTTTGAAGATGGAAGATAGCTGGAAATTGCTGGATTTTTAGTGGAAAAATCAGATGTACTCTTTAGTTAGGCTTATGTACTTTCTAGTTAGACTTTGGTTAAGGAGTTGTACTTGCTAGTTAAACTTTTGTTGTAATGTAACTAGTTGTTGGTAAACTTAGCCTCCAAGCTTAGTTATTTTGTCTTTTAGTGCCCATTTTGGGTATAAATAGGAGGCTAGAGTTACCTTCTTTGATACACTTTAATCCATCATCCATTGGATACTCTAATCCTCCATCCCTTTTCTTCCTCCCAACTTTTCTTCCTTTTCTTTTTCTTGTTGTAAACCCTCTCCATAGGTGTTCTTCATTTAAAGCTTTGAAGTTCTTCATCTTTTTCTTTATTTATTTTCTTGTCTTTTATTTTCCGTCATTTATTTTATCGCCATTTACATTCTTGTCTTTTACATTCCGTCATTTATTTTCCGCTATTTATATTCTCGTCATTTATTTTCCCGTCATTTATTTTATCGTCATTTACATTTCCGTCATTTATTTTACCGTTATTTACTTTACGCAATTTACGCTTATGTCTTTATTTTCAGTTATTTATTTTTTACTTTCCGTTATGAGTAGCTAARCTTTTATAGCTTGGGTGTGAGACGGAAATGTGAGATTTTCAAACCGAACGAAAGTAGCTAAGTGTTTCGTAAACGA